GTCTATATAAGGACCTATTTGCTGATCAATACAGGGATGGATGCCTGGACTCTTTACTGCATGTAATGTGAGGACTTGCGAGTGAGAAATTGCTTTTGTTATGATGTTAAAAAAAATCAGATTTAATCTTCCCACATTAAAAAAAAATTATTTGTCAGAGAGACGCTTTGCCCTAAATAATTGATGGTGGTTGTAGCGTACCCAGAAGAGAGACGACTCCTGTCTTCCATTCCTAATGAAAGGGAAAAAGATAGCAAATATTTTTTTCTTGGATTTGTTTTCATCAGTGCAAGGAGCTGAAACTCCTTTGGGACTTTGGGAAAGAGGGAAAGATTCTCCAGAAATAGGAGAAATAGGAAGGGAAATGTCAGTGTGCTGTTGACCAAGCTCAGATGGCCCATGAAGGATGCCCAGCTTTGGCACTGAGGTTCAAGAGGCTACGGGACAGTTTGGAGACCTGTTAACCCCTGGAGGGAACACCCAAAGGGGCTTCCAAAGAAGCAATGGCCAAAACATGAGCATAAAACCAACCCCCCATGTTGCTGAGCCCGTTGCTCCTTCCTGGGTTCGTTCTTCCAAACATCTTGGAGATGAGTCCGCCTGGCTCCCGCCAAGGCCAAGGAGAGCTGGGAGAGGGTTGATGTCCACCCGGCCACCCTATGCAATGGGTGGCAGAGCCACCAGCCAAACAGGTCAGGGAAATGAGCCAAAATGGCCTGAAGACCACGCATTTATGGAAAAATAAAATAAAAAGACAACTGTCCTTTTAGCTTGTCTGGGGGCTAAAATTTGGGGCTCACTTTTGGGACTGCTTTGCATGAAGGTTGCCCGGCAAGATCCCTCTCTCCCAAGAACCGATCCATCAGGGACTGCACACGCGCTGCGCCAAATAAATATGCGTATCAGCTGTTCCCATGAATGAAAAATACACCCGCTGGTAAATTGGAGGTGAAATAATACATCTGTTGTCAGCATTTTTCTTTTTTTTTTCTTTTTTTTTGCCACGAGTTTCATTAAAAAAGACGTATTGTCTCTGATAAAGTTAACGCCACCGGTTCACTAATTGCTCCTGACGTTTCCCCGTCGCATCGATGATGGATCGCTGCAGAAGCACCAAGCCCAGGCTGGCAGTGAGGAGGAAAGTCACCTCTTGGGGCTATTTCTGGAAGAAACGATAAAGCGGCAGCAGAGCGGGAACGGGCAGAGGGTCCCCAGTGGCCGGGGGGGCCATCGTGGCCACTCGGGTCATGCTGGGCACCTCGTTGGGGCCACCCGCCCGCTGGGCTCCCAAGGAGCCAAAGGAGATAAAAAAAGAGGCAACAGCTGCTGGCCTGGATCAAGGATTTTAATTAATGAGATTTGAGGGGGTGGGGAATGGAAGGGGAGATTTTTCCCAAAGGTTCAATTAAAGCAGGCCGGGAAGGCAAGGAAGGGCATCCCGTGCCACCGCAGGGCTTGGGGAGGTGATGCTGATGGTCACAGTTTCAGCCTGCAGGGACCCCAGGGGGGGCCAAGTGGCTGCTGTGGCACCTCTGGGCTTGCATTTGAGGTGACGAATTGTGAAATTTGCCACTTGCACATGGGGAAAAAATAAAAAAAGGAGCATCTTGCTGCCCTGGGCCAGGCAGAAAAGCAGAGCTGGCGGCCGGGCTCATCCCTTCATCCGAATGGCTCCCCGAATGGCTCCCACTTGGTGGTCGCTGATGCCCAGTGCCACAGCCCCAGCCCTGCAAGGCCAGCGCCCGGGACAACATAGAAATGCCCAGACCCCCCACCCCCACCGTCCTGACCCTCAATTGGGTGCACTGAGTTTGCCGTTCTCTGCAGCACGAGCCAGATCCTGCAGCGGGGTCTGGGCAGTGTCAGCAGGACCTGAGAACACCCTGCGGGATCTCATGCGGCGCCAACAACAGCCTCTTTTCGCCTGTCCGTGAGACAAATGAGGAGAAAGAGGGGGGAAAAAAAGCTTTCTCCTAATAAGGTTGCGCAGAGTGGTGAATTTTCTGCCTCTGCTCAAGTTCTCTCCTCGGAGGCGCTGCTGCATTTTTAATGCGTCTTGATGGAGCTATTACGCTGGTAATTGAAACGGAGCGGCCGCCACCGCGGCAGCTCCCAGCACCAGCTCAGTCCTCATCCCCAGCCCTGTCTGTCCGGGGGTGCAGTGGGATTGGGGGGGTTCGGGAAAAACGTCCTTCCCGGCAGGGATGCTGGAGCAC